ACTCCCAGAATTCCCCAGCCAGCATGGGAGTTGAAGTCCACCCGTCTTAAAGTTGCCGAGGTTGAGGAACCCTGTTTTAGGGGATTCAGAATCTGCAGAATTCACACTGCAAACTTAGAGTATTGTGTGTCCAAGGAAGAATCGATTCAGTGAAATATTCACTTGAGAAGAAACGGCATACTCTCTGAGCCAGTTTTATAAACACAAGTAAGCTAAAACATCGATTTTGTTTTTAAAAAACAGAATTTGAGACTTCAAGAGAAGACTTCCTTTTATTTATGAATTCACTAGATTTATAAGGCCCAAACAGTGTGACTCTGGGTGGCGTGCAACAACAGAAAACAAGCAATAATCCAAAAAGAGTAACACAACATAAAAACATACACAATATATAAATATGAATATGAAAGCAAAGCCAATTTTGCCTGCTGTGTCTGATTGCCTTGTCGCAAGTATTCCCCAGTTTGGTAAACTAGAACTGATATAATCCATATAGTCTAACTAGTATAGCCCTGCCTGTTACTACTTTTGTCCAAAGGTTGATCGTTTTCAGTTTCTGAGCACTAAACAAATCTACCCTCTCATTTCTTGTTATCTGCCCTGACAACACTTGTGGTTAAAGGTTAAGGTAATAATCTTACAGATACATTTCTGATGATTTACTGTTTTACCATTTTACTGTTTTATGTTGGAAATCATTGTGTAATCGGTCCAGAGAAATGCAGTCATTGTTGACTGGATTAAATAATTATTATAATCTTGTATTCTTCCTCTACTTAAGGTATCCTCCAGAGGTATGGAGCAACTTTCAGAATTGAGGTTGAAGAGTAGAGTGGGGAGTTACAATAAACCAGTATTTTGAACATCTACATGGCCATGGAATATTTTGGAGCTTCAGATATGTTGATGGAACACATTCATTCTAGTTCAGAGCGAGATGTATATATATGGGGGGGGGGATTGTGGAAAAAAAAATATTAGAATTTTAAAAAAAATAACATTAACAGACAGATGACATTTTGAATCAGGTTGTCAGACAAGAACTTTACATTGCAACAGCCACTAACTGCTGTGTGTAAAGACTACCAGTTTTTTTGCATACACACCAAAAACCTGCCTGTAATTAAGTGTTTTTGCCTGTTCATCACAAATCCGCTTAAAATTAGGAATATTGTTGGAAAGTTGGATCATCAAATCAATATCTGTCCTGATTTGAGTTAGTCACAAGAGCCTTGATTAGTGGCAGTAGCTCTTCTTTCTGCTAGAAGCTCT